GGGGGGGAGGGGCGTCGTCAGCATCTCGCACGTGCTTGGGGGGGTTGACGTCGCGCTCCCGACATCTCGTACTTTAAGTTCGCTACTTCGCACCTACGCCAGAGATAGCTTCTGTAAATATCGCGAGAAGACGAAGATACACGTATATCCTCCTCTCGCTCTTCGTCTTTCGTCTCTCATTGAGGTGAGTGAGTTCATTTCTGCGGGCATGTTGAGTTTCCGTGCGTGTGCGTGTGCGTGTGCGTGCACACGCGCTCGAGCTGTCCGTCAATGCGAGACCATCGGTTTCTCTCGATTCAGAAAGCGCCGTCTCGCGCGAATTAATAATGCAGAGTCGTTACGAAATTCGTGTGGGGATCCGACTGAACTTTATACGTGACTCGGTGAGCCGCGCGCGCCCGGGGGTCACGACCCTACACGACCCCCATCCTGTCCGATATCTGGGGCACACTTGAATTTTAAACCGCGTTATACGATTGCCATCGCGCTCGATTAAGCTCCTCCACGCGACGGGCTGCCTCGGCGCAGACTCCCACGAAATGTGTGCTCGATAGTAAATGTCAACCTGTATGTCATCGGTCACGGAGTTATCTATGTAAGAGTACTAAGCGAGCTCTCGACCACACAGGAAACGTGACTCGACGTCGATGCAATTTTTTACACGACTTTTCTTTGATAGAAAGAAAAAATTATCCTATAAAAATGTCTTTAAAAAATTTGTTACTTTATACACATTTCCTGCTTTATACACATTTATATATCTACATATGGGGAGATATATTTTAAATAAAAGATATATTTTAAATAAATATATATTTTTATAAATCTATTTTATATAAAAAATATATTTTTATCACAACACACTTTTCGACAATTTTATGTCAGAACGTAATCTGTTAATGTAATACGGCAATATAATATGGTTGCGATATGTAAATTAATTCCGATAAAATTAATGATTTTTTCTCTCGGGATTCATTGTCTTTCTATGCAAGCCTACGACGGATATCGATTTCTAAATATCAAAGGCCGGGAGCTTTTTGTATCGGCTAACGAGCGGAGACATACCTACGCGGGCTTATTTGTATGGTGATGTTAATCAAGGAGACGGAATAATTAACGCGGTATTGATCGCGAGAGTGCGCGGCTTTACATCGGATTAATCCGTATGTATCTCCGTGTTTCTCTATTGCCCGACAGATGTAATAGCCATTATTAGGCCTGTTAACACACAACGTTGCGGGAAAGCACACGCACAAAGAGAGATGTACAATAATAAAATATTCGATTAATACGTAACGTTTCACGTGCGCCAAACTTTGGGACCACAAATACGCATATGTAATCTCATATGACGAATACTATAACAACGTACATCCGGTGGTTAACCATTATAGCGCTGTTGTGGTGGTGCCTTATCGCTCTATGTTATGACCAATGACAAAGAACATCTTCAATGTTCCTTTGGTGAAATTGCTGTCACATAAAGAGCTGTCACAAAAGAAATAAAAGAATCTAGCGTCAAATGATATTCATTGTTAGGAGCTGCAAATGTTAATTAGAAAATGAGCCTTAGATTAAGAATTTATTAAAGAAAAGAAATATTAAAGAATAAATATTAAAGAAAAGAATTTAATAGACGAAAACGAGAGAAGCTTTTGAATGACAAAGCAAATTTTAATCAAATTTTAATCGAACACCCAAAAATACTAAGTTATTTTTAATATAACGTATGGATTAAGG